CTCGGGCACAAAGTGTCTCTTCACAGCTCGCATTCAAACGAGAGCTTGTTCCCCCACCCAACCCTGCCCCCCCCCCCCACCCCCCCAACCCCCCACACACAAAAAAATAGCTGACAGAATTCCAATCGGAGTAACTGTTTGCGCTCTGATAGGAATCTATCCGCTGTCAGTTTGTGGTAGCCGGCTGGATTGAAGAATGCAGTATCTGTTTGGACAAAGACGGGCTCTTTATAATGTCAGCTCAAGCGAGAAAGGACCTGGGTTCGATTCCCGGCAGGGCGAAACCTTGGGCAAGTTTCCTTACTTGCCACACGCCTGATAAGCTCTTAAAAGGCATTCGGGGCTCCTGTGCTCGTTTTCGCTCTGGGGCCGCTCCTCCGCCAGGTTACTAGAAGCTTGCCTGGAGCCCTGAAGGGCTTCCCGCGTTAAGCTTTGAACCCACGGCTGGAGGTGAAAGGGTTTAAGGGTCTGACAAAGAACCGCGGCAGCCTGCCACACCAGAACGACAAAGTTACTCCCGTGCCCTTGAAATAGGTTGTTCGTGTTTCGTCCCGAGAGGATGTCGACCTCAGCTTAAAACCTCATGTTGCTCTGGCTGTGCTGTCAGATGGAGAAATGGATGGATTCCCACAGGGCAGATCACATCCTGTGCCATTCATTCCTTAAGTCCGAACTACCTTAATCTTAACGGGGTGGGGGGTGGGGGGTCACTCAGTTCCCCAGTTAGTAATACTTCTGGCTGGCTTCGGTTACGCACCGATACAATCCCGATCCAGGCTGACCGACCGTGTTTGGCCATCCTGTTTTCCAATAAGGCGCTCGCAGAAAGGCCCCTGGACGCACGTGTTTCACCCAATCCCATGATTTTTCCCATTTTTCCCATTTTTTTATAAAAAATCGATCGCTGCCTTCGAACAACAAATCGCAATAAAACGACCCGGGAAGTCACTTGAACAGTGACTCCGAGACAGCGGGCTACGTGAAGGGCACTGTATGAAGCCGTCGATGGCAACAACAACTCCCATTTATACAGCCCCCTTCACGCGGGGTAGCGCCCCGGAGCGCTTGACAGTGGCGGGGTCTGACCCCGAGCCAGGGGGGAGAGGGGAGGGGATGAGGTGACCGTAAGCACGATCAAAAGGGAAGGTCTTCAGGCGGGATATGAAGGTGAGGGAGGGAGGGGGCAAGGCGGAGGGATTGAGGGAGAGAGTTCCAGAGTTTACCTGCATGGGAGAGTATTTTTAATTAAAAAATAAACCCCTGCATTAATTAATGCTCCCTCTGGCTGTAACCTTGGTCGTCGGCCGGGTGTCTGACATACGCAGTGTGTCCAAATCCAGCGTATGAGAGTCTCCAGAGCGCATCAAAATTTCCCTTTGTCTCGAACAGAAGGAAATCTGTGACTGTGCCTCATACTATGTGTGTGTGGGGGGGGGGGGGGGGGAGGTTTGATGTAAAACGCTATGAAATAGACCCGAGAGAATTCCTTTAACTCGACCGCTTACCCTTATTGTAGATCGTGGTGAAAAAAGTTATTAGTTTTAACAGAACTTCAAGGAAGGAAGATGTCACATCTCATTATTATCCCATGTCGAAACTGACCTCGCTCCACTTTTAGTCTCAGAAGCTTTCATCAGCAGGAAACTGTTATGTTATCTTACGTCTCTTCAAGGCTCCCCTTCCTTAGCCGTACAAGTTGATAAAGTTCAAAGCTGAGCTACGCAAATCGGTCTTTTGCTTTCACCCAATGCATTGTTGACAATTTATGACAATAATAATAATGATAATAATCCTTGCATTTGACATAGCGCCTTATCACGTCTTCGAGACGCCTCAAAGCGCTTCACGGAATATACAGTAAAGTGAATTGACCGTATATTTTGTGGGCAAAACGCGGCAGCCAATTGCACACAGCAGCGTCCCCGCAAACAGCCGTGGATTGAAGTGACTCAATTATTATTATTATTTTTTAAAAAATATTTTCGGGTGGGGGGGGGAAGGCATCTGGAAAAACAACTGCGGCGAAATGTTCTTTTCGAACCAGAAAATGGCTTATTGGGTCAAAATGCAGGGGATCGGGTTGAACCTGGTGTAAAACTGTGCAGCCGGAGCCACGATCCAGTGTAAATACTTGAAGCTTTACGACAGTTTGGTCGGAAAAGGATCAAACCTGTTTTTTTTTTAAACTTTCCTGATATTAGTGTTTGTTCACCCAAAGAGGATTCGTGGCCAGATTTCAGTGTAAACGTGGTGGGCAGATCTCCTGCAGCTTTACTCCATTTAAACCCTTTTCGGGGCAGGAAAGAAACGTTGTAATTAAGGGAACTTGGGCCAACCCAAAGAGCAAGTGGCTTTTGTGAGCGCTTTCCCATTGATCTGTCAGCCACATTCCGCTGCCTTGTGGGATAAACCGTGGAAAATTAGCCCTCAGTGTTCACGCTGAACAAGTAGCGTCACTGGAGCTGGCCGCGTTGGCAAGTGAATTGGAGAATCGCTTCCACTCTGGCTGAGCTCACTGTGGTGCATTCCAGGGATACACCCGGGACGAACCGACCGGTGATCGTTTGGAACAATTAACTGTTCTATTACCGTACAACACAGTAACCACATTGGCATCTCTGCCGTAACTAAACCAGAGGCCACTTTGGCCAACCGAGTGGTGAGGGAAAATCTCCAGTTCAGGCTTAGTTTGGAAGCTGTTTTCTTTCTCACTCTTTCTCTCTCTCTGTCTCTCTCTCTCTCTCTCTCTCTCGGGTTGCAACTTCCAGAACTTCTGACTGGAAGATCGTACCCAAGGCCCTCGCAGCTTGTGTGTCAGACACAAGTGGAATTGAAATGACATTGACAGGCGGGGCGCTGTTGGGGAAAAAAACATTTACGTTGTAAAGTGAATGCCTGTTACAGCGGGACGGTAGAAATGGGCACGTGTGTGCGTGTGTGTGTTTGTGTGTGTGTGTGCGCCAGCAGTCAACGACAAGCAATGGGGGAGGAGACCTTAAGCACAGCCAAAGAGGTAGGTCTTCAGATGGGATTTAAAAATAGATAAAAAGGGGGCGAGGCGGAGGGATTGAGGCAGGAAGTTTAAGAGGTTAGCGGTGTAGTTGACTGGAGGTTCGAGAGAGAAAGAGAGAGAAAGAGAAAGAGAGAAAGAGAAAGATTTGCCAATGGGGAGAAAATTAGCAAATAATTGGACGCACTTTTTTGGATTAAAAAAAAGAATAAATAGAGAAAGTGAGTGCACGTAAAAGGCCAATGTTAACCTCTTAAGTTTTGCACGAATGAATTTCCTCAGTTCATTTGAAAGTAGAATTGACGAATGCATTTGTTCAAAAAGAAATGGCCATTTTTACACAATTTATTTTCCAAAGGCAGCCTCAGGCTCTGGCGTAAGCCAACACGAAAAAGTATACTAAACAAAGCGACTGAAAGATAATTGCAGTTAAACAGCGAAATCGTGAAACCACCTTGTATTTTAAAACACTACTCAGTTCAGTTCCAGTTTTAAATCCCTCACAAATATGCCAAATGCCATTACCTGTTATCCAGTAAACACGTTTAAGGAGCTATATCATATTACAAACATTTCATTTAGGATAAATACTACGGGGCCAGGACTGGGCTGGGCAGGAACTTTGCCGAGGCCATCTGTATCATTCAGCATATTATTTGTGGCAAAAACCCATATCGTAACATGTAAATCCAAATCATTTTTAAAAGGCGGTGAGTAGCAAATATGCCGTGAACCCGAATCCTATGCTTTATTGCCAACTCAGATCATCCAACACTTTAAGGCTTTGGCTCGCAGAGTTAACCGGAGCTGAGAGAGAAAAATCCCTGCTCACTTCACACAGTCACTGCACTATCATGACATGGTCTCTTCGAAGCTTTGAGTTCCTAGACATCTGCATTTCTTAACCGGAGGAAAATGTAGTCTTCAATGCTGTCCTGTCAGCGTCGCCAAAGCTACGAACGAGTTTACTCTATCAAGTCGATTTGACAGTAAATTTGAGTGTTATTTGCATAGGTGTCAGCCTTTCTCAGTTGGTGTCACTCTCGCTTCTGAGTCTGAAGGTTGTGGGGGCTTTGAACTCGCACAGTCAAGGTTGACGTTCCAATGCAGAGGTGGGGGAGCTACTCAAAAAGAGGAGGGAATTTCTCCTGGTGTCTCAACCAACAATCACCGAGATAAAACTGGACATTGCTGTGTGTAAATTGCATTCGCCTACAAAATACATTGTCACTACACTTCACAGCAAACCAAGGTTATTATCTGATCTAAGGTTACAAGTTATGGCTGTGAAATGCTGGGACCATACTTCATCAATTTCCGTGATCCTCCCAATTACTTTCCCCAGTCGAAACCGAACCGTTTACACCCTTGTTTTAACTTTGTGAAATAAGGCTCAACTCATTCTCAGTTGTACGACTCCGCTTAATCCACCTTTTCGCAGGTCTTTAAGCCGTTTGGAATTGCAGAGAAGATTTTTAGTTAAAAACTGAGTCACACGGTAAAATGTAGCCATTCACATTATGGTGAATTTGACTAACGTATACAGTCAGAAAGAAAAGTCTCGCTAATCTGTTGCACCGAGGTTAGATATAGAGACTTTTCATCGTCGGTCCAGTGTCTTTTCCAAATGTATCTACCTTCATGTCATGGTTTTTTTCTTCTGAATTGATGACTTGAATTGAAGTTGCTGCGTAAAGTACAATGCAATGGTTATACAGCATCTTTCACATCCGGAGTGCGTCTCAAAGTGCTTGACGCTGGCTGGCTGGGCACCCGAGCTGGGGGTGGGGGCTGAAGCGGGTGGGGAGGGCAAAAGAAATGGTGTGGGGGGGGGTGTGGGGGTTGGACATAAAGCAGGCAGATGCTGCTTTTCGGCACAGAAGAATAATAAAAGTTTTTTTTTTTGCAACAGGCAATTTTATCGCTCATTAGCCATCGCTGTACGTCACTTGCGACATGACTCTTTGCCTTTGTTGTCGTCTGTTCACAGACCCAAGTGGGGGAAGATCCGGTGTCTCAACATCAAATGTATGCACACTGTCAGCCTTCAGCACGATAGTGCTCTCTCTCTCAGCCCGATCGTCATTATGGTGAAAGCATACACTACCGACCGATGTCAAGCTTACCCGATGTCAAATATAATCAGTCAACAATCTAAAGACTTATAATGAGTAAATCTACAAAAATTCCGCTAGTGTGCATTTACTTAACCACCAATGTTATCTTTTCCTATAAATCTTTATTACTGTACGCTATGTCATTTCAAATTTATGTGGACACGCCTGTAATTACCAATGCCAGTCAGCTACCAGATTAAATTGACCAACCTGTTCTTTGCCTGAGATCTCGTTTGGGCCTTTACAAATGCACTAAGTCAACACCTGAGGAAACAAAAAACATCAGCGAATCGATGTTACCAAAGCGTGCAACCTAGCAGTTTGCATATAATGTACAGACGGTTATATTTATACACCTGAAATGTTCAGTATTTTGAGAGTTATTATTTAGCACAATCAGTTAATGTATCTTGGAATGTGTCGTAGCTTTTTACATTGTAATACAATTTCACGTACCTGAAAAGTCACTGTTGCTTGTACTAAGATAGGAGATTTAACCAGATAACATTGGTGCAATAGTTCTACCTTAAATCACAAAGGTTGCTCTAAAAAAAAAGCATCCAGGTACAGTCATAACAAATGAAAAGTAAAATATGTATTTGTTTAAACGGTCCACTATGTGAAATGATTTTTCTGTTATTTTCAGTCGGTTTCATTTGTAGCTGCGGGAAGTAAAACAGAACCTAGTGCACTCGAGTAGTAAGGCGTAAGGCAATGTTATCCAAATAGGATGTTTTCCAAGGTTATAAGCCTGAGGACTTGAGCGCACAGATGTGATACTGACAACAACTTTGGCGTAGAGTGAGGGAGGGGGAAAGTGAAAGAAACAAAGCTACAGATGAGCAAAAAAAATATAAAACGTTAAGAAAAAAAAGTCAAAACTATAATGTTGCATGTGGAGGTGCATTTATATTGCTGTTAAATTAATGTACATAAAGTTTTACAGTGCATATTTGTAAATAAGTGTCTTGAGCAACATGACTTTACAAGGGGCACTGTTACTGTATTAGACATAGGGTGGCCAAATGAGCCCACATTTGTCTAGCAGATTGAATCTTTACGGTTGTCATTTGTCTTTTAGAAGTTTGATCTGCTTTCGGGAAGAAAAAAAGTAATGGTTTTGCAATTATGTTTTCTAAAACCTCAAATCTGTTTTATATTTTTCATTCGTCTGTTATGACTGGCCGCTGTTAAAAAAAAATGTAGGCAGCAGTATTTACATTTAAATATTGTTTGCTTAATTGTGTAAATAGTAATTTGACAGAACCCTTTGAAATAAATCTGTCTTGGAACAGTTTTTTCCCCCTTCTCCCTCCTTGTCTTACTAATTCCATAAACTACTGCTATTTTATATTTTCTACTGAATACAGTAACAAATTTTTTTCTAACTTTCTACGAGACATTGTCAAGGTGTATAATAGGACCCACTTCTGAAATGTGAAGGTTTGTAAAATGACGTAAATTCTTCCAAATTTTGGAGTTGTTTCAGAGTTTTTAATGGAAACCTCCACCTGGGTCTCGATTTACTCTTACCATTTTGGAATTGGGTTGGATTGAAGAAAGCCTTTCATTTCTCTCGATCTCAACCTTCCAGAATACTGACCCTATCGTCCTCCCATCACAGCATCAAGCTATTTTTGTTTAAAAACGAGTCCCGGTGTCCTGGCCTCAACCACCCTTCCTTCCAGTCGTTAACTTCCCACTGTTTAAATAAGCACTTCTTGGCGTCTGTCATGAAATTGTTCTTTGCAACTCTCAACCCCTGTCCTCTTGTTCTACTGGTTTGATGCATCCTAAAGTGTTGTTTTGCATTCACTTTTGCCATCTCATTTAAAATGTCATGCACCTCTGAGGCTCTTCCTTTCAAGACTGACGAACCAACCCTCTCGCTTGTCTGATTGTTGCTCGTGCCTTGTTCCTCTTATACTCGTTGCTCTCCTCTGCACCGCATCTGCACTGGCATCCTTCTGGTCTGTGTGGCTCAGTGCTACACAGGTCAATGGCTTCACTGACCAGCCCACCAGATGGCATAGGGCATCAATCACAAGTGAAAATTGTTGCAACGCAACATCCTATTTTAATTTGGCGATTATGTTCCGCGGATCTCCATGGTTGGGTAATGGTTTCTATCAGGCAATGTGCATGATGTACAGCAGGCTGTGCAGAAACATTGACTGTGTCTGTTAACGGACCTAACATCTGAGACCAAGGAGCTAAGATTCCTAAAGGCAGCTTTGATGGAAGCACAAAAGATAACACATGAGCTTAGAAGAATTTCATTTCACACAGAGAGATGTTGGGAGATGGGTTGCCCGCCAAGTAAGGTGGTAGATGGAGAGACCATTGTGGGTTTCAAGAGGGAAGTAGACAGGTACAGGAAAAGCAACGGGATTGAAGGAAATCGGGGCAGGGCAGGAAGTGGGATTGAATACACACCTTGATCTACTGTACATTTCTGTGATGATTCTCCACGATAACACATTTTGGAGTCAGATGGTGAGGTGCTGTACATTCACATTCAGGATTTGTTTTCAAGCGGGGAAAACGTTCTCAAACCAAGACGTTTTGTTTTGCTCCGTACTTAAAGGTTGCATTTGCAACCGAACGCTAGGCGTGTGTCTTTACCTCCAATCTGCAGGTAAGTGGGATCATCGAGAACCTCTGGCTGCCCATATCTCGCTTGGAACGTCGTCACGATTGATAAGCAATTGAACCACTTAATAGCACCGGACGCCACAGAGCAATGCTTCTCCAGCAGTTTTGATGGCAACTCATTTATTGTACGTAAATGCAAATATCGTTGTGTTGAGTAAATAAACCGTGTCTTGATTTCAGTAATAAATGTGATATTTTCATTGTTTGTAACCGAGTGCAGTTCTTTATTTTCCAATAGAATTCCTTAAAAGTAAGTTCAAACCAGGGATTTCCGGCAGGGCGTCGACGCATTTCCACCCGTAAAAATCGTGACTTGTTTGCAGAATTTATTGGGGAAAAAAAACCCCACAAATATAAACACGCAGAAAAATGCCTTTTGCAGGATTCGAGCTTTGATGATTTGACCGTTTTCCGGATGAATTGTTTTGTTGCTTCGCTTAGTACAGAAAGACTGCGAAAGTATTCAACGGCAATGTGGAGAGCCTTTGCGGGAACCAGACAAAAGAAAAATAAATGTCATTTTTGGCAGAGAGCCTTAAAGATGGCTCATTCGATTGCACTCTCGACCTTTGAATCGGAAGGTTGTGGGTTCGAGCCCCAAGTCAGGACTTTGAGCTCACAGTCTAGACTCACACTTCAATAGAGTGATGGGGAGAACATTGTATTGTCAGAGGTGCCGTCCTTCATTAAGGCTGTTCAGGTGGATGTTGAAGATCTCCTGGCACCCCTCGAAAAGAGAAGGGAGTTTCTCCCTCAATTCTTGGCCATCAATCCCCCAGATGCAGTTGGTTGTTTATGGGACATTGCTGCGTGCAAATTGGCTGCTTTGTTTACCTTCAAATCACTGTACTTCACAATAAAAAATATCTTGTCAAGCACTTTGAGACGGCTCAATGTGATATGCGGCAATGTGACCTTCAAGGATTATTATTGAGGATTATTAATATTCACCGCAATCTGATTACGGTTTAATGTAAGTGAAATGTTTCCTTAGCCTCCTCTCCATTAATTGTTGATTGGCGCATCGATTTGGTAATAATCTCTCCCAAAAGAAAATTGTGGTCACTCAATCCACGACTGTTTGTGGGACCATTGTGCTGTGCGCAATTGGCTGATGCATTTCGCCCACAAAATACACAGACAATCGACGCAAGGATTATTATATATTATTATTTGTTGTCGTTGTTGAGTATGTCGACCAAAATGTACCAGAAATGGGCCAAGAGTGGAGACCTGGATCAGCCTGCGTTGGATTTCTTTGCGATTCTATTTGAGTCGCAGCCGGACGATTGCAAGAAAATCTTAAAAGATTGGGTTCATTTCCACGGTGTGAACAGGAGGAATGTGGAAGTCAACTTTTTGGATGGTTTTCGTGCTGCCGTTGTGTTGAGCGGTTAATTATTTACACCCTTCCTGTTACCTGACGAGCAAAACGCACCACAGTCAAATTGGAGGAAAATGTGCGATGTCTCTCTTGGGACAGTACGGGAGAGTTTTTTTTTAAGAGCTCTCCTGATTTTTGATGATCTTTGTCCGAGGGGTGTGGCGAATTGTCTTGTGAGATGCTGGGACTTAGCGTTCACATCGAGACAACACAAGTACAACAGCAACAACAACTTGCATTTATAGAGCAACCCCCACATTCAGGTTGCGTCCCAGAGTCTTAAACAATCTGATAGTAGCCGCAGCCCTTTATACTTCAGCTGAAGGTAAAGGCATTTTGGGGAAACGTTAGCGAAACAGCCACGTGCAGAACTTGCTGTAGCGTAAACCTTGCCCGGTGTCCGAAATGATTTTACATTTGAACAGAGCTTTCAAAATGCGGGGGAAGAAATTCCCCCTTGTGTCTAGATTTCTCCAGTATTGTTATTACTTTGCCCACAAAACGGTCAATTCACTTTACAGTATATTCTGTGAAGCGCTTTGAGACGTCTCGAAGACATGATATGGCGCGATGTCAAATGCGAGGATTATTATTATTCCCCCTCACCAAATTATGGCAGTGACATTTCCTTGCAGTGACATTTCCTTTTTTTAAAAAAAATGAATAGAGATTAAATGACTTAATAAAGTATGATGTGACATGTTGACTACATGGAACGATTATCACTGAATCATTCAGTTTGTTTCAAGGTCAGTGCGTCAGTAACCCACTTATATTGCTTTTGCGAGTTATAAGGTCTTCCCCAGTAATTAAGTAATCATTAATCCACTGTGGAGCCGCGAGTTACCTGAAGTGCTGTGAAACTCAGACCTAACGCTTTGAAGATTATTGTTAGCAAAGGAGAATAACAAATTAAGATCAGAACGTGGAATATATTTAATAGTCCCAACCCCTTCGCGAGATGCAAAAAGGTACTGCACTTCAGGTTATACCCTGTAATCCATTTACAATTCAAATGTCTTTATAACAGTCATTCTGCCCCGAGGAACGGTTGTAAAAATAGTTCAGCTTTAACCAAAGCCCAGATATAACAAAATGTTTTCCCCGAGCTTTCAGGAGCGTGAACGAGCCACTCGTTTCATTATCGACGGGCTCACTCTGAGGTTTAATGGAAACGAATACAAATCAGTTTTAACGAGCGATTCTGTTCTCTGGAGCGAAGGTGAAATGTGTTGCATGCACGTTTTTGCCTTATCAGGATCGGAAATCAGACAGATCCTTGGCATTATTATTCGTCCGATAATAATCTTTCCATTTGATACAGCGCCTTATCCCGTCGTGGAAGTGCTTCGCGGGACGTGCAGTGACTGTGCACTTGGTAGACAAAGAGAGAGCAGCGGGTCGCTTTGCTGACAACCTTTCCAACTATAAGGCGGAAAAAGTCAAAACGTACGATTGTTTCCGAGGGGGAAGTATTTAAACGGGTAACTTTTTCGTGTTTTCGAGCCACTGCATTTGCCTTGCCTTCGTGATTCTTTTGAGTCTCTGTCCGCGAACCGGCGGTGGGAATCCGCAGATGCCCGTAGACAGAAATGAAGAGTCTGTGGGCAGCGTTCCGAGACATTTCCGCACGGTGAAAGGCACCGTATAAAACGCAAGTCGTTGTGGTTAAGCGATAATATTTCCAAAAAGCGAGTGACACTTCTTGAGAGCCAACTGGATTTATTACAATCATTTCTGTTAAAGACGGCCACCTTTTTAATATTAATTTCAGTTAAATACTCTGCCCACCCACCTCACCACCACCACCACCACCATCACCACCAAATANTTTTTTTTATCTTCATGGCAAATGGGTGGTGTTGTTTGCCCAGGGCTCCAAAGGTCAAATACAGACGATTCCACATGAGAAGAAAAGTGGTTTAACCGACGTTAGCTATAAACGTGACCAAACAGTTAATATTTGAAACACGGGCACTGATTAACGCACAGCCTTCACTCATGAAACTGCTTATTTCGCTGCTGAAGGAAGGCTTCATAACTGTGTGTGTGTTTGTTGCTCAAAGAAACTCGAAGAACGTCGGTGCAATACGATACAATTTATATTTATGTCGCGCTTTTCGCGTCTCGGAGCGTTTGAAAGTACCAGAGGTATTTGGTATTCACAGAGGCGAGACTATTTTTTTTGACGTGCTGACAATAAATTGGTTGTGAGGTCCTGGTTCCCTGTTTTAATTGAAAAGTAACAAAATTACACACGTTGAATACGTTCGATAAGCAACGAAGCCCAGGTTGACAGAAAGAAGCATCGTTTTGCTCTGTTAATTGAAGCGGAGGGTAATATTTGACTGGAGTGAGGCGCAAGGCAGCAATTGATTCAAGGGTTTGTGATGATAAACTGGAAGAGCAATACTTGAGAGTTTTTTTAAATATCATCGCAACTCAAGATTCATTGCATCTCTGCCAATTTATGTTTTATTCATTCTCATATAAACAGGCACACACATATTTTTCTTGCAACTTATTATCGATGGAGTCGGTCACTCGCTTCACACCGGTTTGCGGGGACGTTGCTGTGCGCAATAATACTCATCGCCTACGAGTATTATTATATCATATTTACTGTTGTCGTAGTATTATCCGTACAACCACTGTTACATTCAACGGCTGTTGATACATATTAACAGCGATTATTAATTAAAAAAAAACTTATTACAACATAAGTATCATATTGTATTTATTACTACATGATCGGTGTATTATAATTATTATGGACATGGTATTTATTATTACAAGCATTATTACTGTATTATTATACTATAATAAGTATTATAAGTATTATTATTGCATTATAATAAGTGTTATTACTGTATTACTGTATTATTACTGTATTATAAGTATTATAAGTATTATCACTGTATTATTGCTGTAATTACTTTATTATTATATTATTATAATAAGTATCATTACTGTATTGTTACTGTATTATAATAAGCACATTATCACTGTATTATCACTGTATTATAAGTATTATCACTGTATTATCACTGTATTATTACTGTATTATTGCTGTACTATTGCTGTATTATAAGTATTATCACTGTATTATTACTGCAGTGTCGCTGTGCTCGGGTGCGGGTGTGTCGGGAGGTGTCGGTGTCGGGGGTGTGTGTGTCGGGGTCGGGGTCGGGGGGGTGTTGTGGTTCGTTTCGCGGTGT